TGACTTTTTACAGGAATTCTCTCAATGTCCTCTGTTATTATGCACTAATTTTTTGCATTAATTTTTGTGCTCATCGTACATATCATTCCTTTCTTGACATCAGTTTGCAAGTTTGTTTATTTAGGGAACGACCTTTTCTTCAAAGAACTGTGCCGGAAAGAGGGTTTTAACCTTTGAATAAATACAGAGTGTCTTGAGAATTTGTTCTTTTTTTATTGTCAAGCATAATTTTACAGTACAAATTTAATCAAGTAATTATGCTTTAGTACTGACAGGTTGATTGTTGATGTCGTTTAATCTCACCCCATTCTTTTTAGATGACTGGGACTTTTAAAGAAATTTTTGAAGTGTAAACAAGTCTGTCATAAATCCATTCATTTTTTCTTTGCTTCTGTATCTTATATTATTGACCAACCACTTTTATTTATAATTTTTTCACCACATATTTACTAGAAGGCATAAGCGTGCAAACTTCAAAGTTTACTTTTTTAGAGGCTAACCTATTCTTGAAAGGAGGGAAATATAATTCATAGTAGTAACAAATTTGAACGACAAGAATTTGCCTTAGAGAAGAAAAAGACTGAAAAGGCGAAAGAAGATTGGTAGTACTGCGAGCAGATGTTTTTGGCAGTTTGAAAAGGCGGTAAGGAAGTGCTTAGAAACTTTCAAGAAGCATAGCTCAAAACTGAAGCGTTTTTCAGACTTGCCACTCGTGCCTCTAGAGCAGTAGAGAGAGTTAGAAGCTTGTGGTTATGGTGGTTAGCGCGGCAATTGAGATGCATTTAGAGGAAAGACTGTTTTTTATTTTACAAAAGTTTTCTCATTTGATGCGAACTTAATTTTTTATTTAACTGAACTTTGAAACCTGATAAGGAGTATTTCTTTTATGACGGTAGGGAATTAAATGAACTATAGACTACGAGTTATTTTCTACTCTAGTGGAGGAGGCAAGCCCTGATCAGTTGGAGGTACAAAAACCGTTACAGTTCACTACTGTAATTTTCACAATTGCGGAAGGGCTGTTCATGAAGCTAAATAACAAAGAAGAGCTTTTATTTTCTTTATGGCCTTGATTCGCCATGTCTCATAGATCATAACAGATAAAATAAGAAAACTTGGCATTTATTTTAAAAAGAATTTAATTCACTTCTACAACACTGCTTTGAGCATGCCAGCTCTTTGAAGAGTTTGAATTTCCCGGAAAATAATGAATTTTCTGAGAGGTTGGGAGACGGAGAAGTGATATCACGTCTTTTTTTTGGACTTAGGACCTCTAATTTTTACAAGAGTGTCTTCATAAAACGTGTAGGTTTTTTTTAAAGTTGCAGAAAGCTTCAAAGTACTTCAGTTCCTTTAATTTCAAGCTAATTTGTATATCCCCAAAGGTGTAGTGGAAATGCGACATTGGCGACCGAAAAACCTAATGCTCTTTCTTCTGGTTATGGATTGTTCTTTTCATTTTTTCACAGCTGAGTTTAATGAATCCGGGAATAAAAGTTATAGCAGTTGTTGATGGCTCTTTTTTAAATCTGGGCTTGTTGCGTTTTATTTATGAGGTTGCTTTAGTGATAAGAACTCATTTCTTCTTGTTTTTTCACTTTCGTCTACGTTTTCTTTTCTTTAACATCTCTTTAGTTCATTCTGTCAGCCATTACTAGGACGGAAGGAGAGTATTGCTTATCAAATTGTCATTTTTTCATTTTATCATCGGTAATCGTTATGCGCTTCTGTAGAATTCCAAAGCTTGGCAGCGATACCCGCAGGTTCTTTAACTTTTATAGTCAGCTTATGAGTGACGCTGGCTTTTTATGGTGAATTTATATCAGGCTAAGAGCACCCGGATGCCTTTATCGACGACGTCAGCTAGTTTTTCCAACGAAGACGTCGATTCGGTTCTCTTAGGTTTTTTGCTTTTTGATTTCTTTTATATGATATATTTTAAAGTTTGTTTTTTTTTAATATTGTTTTTGGATCTTAACCGAATTTCACCTGTGTTGGGATGAAACTGGAAAAACTGCCGTTTAAATTCTTAGCAAGTACCGATTTTAGAATGACTGGTCTCAATGTTTTTGTAGCTCTTGCCATTAATAAGTTGTTCGTCATTTTTCCAATTTTAAACATTTCGTTTCTTAAACCATTAACTTATGATAGGAATTTGATGTGTCGTTTAAGTAAAATAAGTTTTAATTTACCTGTTGTAGAAAAGTAAGCTGACCCTCGTCCTGCTGTGAAATTAACTGTAAAAAGGCTTTATAAATTGCCGTGCATTTTTTTCAGTAAAATGTATTGCTAAACTAAAGTCTTTACAGATTACGCCGAAAAAGAAAGCGAACTGATCATTAAAGAAGCTCTAGCTAAAGCTTATTCTGTGAAAAGTGAAGTTGGCAACGCGCGGGTTTTTGGTCAGTATGTTTTAATACAGTAATACTGTGTTTACGCTTTTATCCCTGTTTTATAGTTTTAAAGAAATATTTTGTAAAGGTCTGCAGTTTATTTTGGTTAGTGACAACTGTGAGGTTTGCATAACTTTTTCGTGTTAGTAAATAACCGTTTTTGATCTAAGTTGTTGTCTTACAGCCACAGGAGGATTCATCAATTACTTATGCGATTTGCACGACAAAATTACTTTACGCTCTATAATGACCTTCCTAGGATTATATATTTTCATTATTTTGTCTCAGCTATTTTAGTAAGTCATATTTTTTCAGAAACATTTGATCTAGTACTAGTTATTAAGGTGACAAATTTTAAAAAATTTCAGCCATGCAGACGAGAGGTTGATTCGCTGGCCTGCTTCCCCGCCAGGTCGATTTTTCCGACCTGAAGCTTCAGATGTTTTGAAAGATTTTTATGATGGTAATGGGGCTTCTGTGAATAAACTTTTGAGCCACTCGGAAGTTGCTATCGTTATGTACTATGCACCATGGAGCCTAGAATCAAGACAGGCTAGACCAGTGTATGAAATAGTCGCTAGAAGCTTTTCTTCCAATCCACAGGTTTTGACCTACGAATTACGCGATAGTCATTATTTCTGATATAATTAGTAACAAATTATCCCATACGTTTTGAATGATTAACATCTTGAAGACACCAATAAACTTATCTCAAGTTTGTGTTTCACTCGTATATTTAAGTAAATTGTGGAGTTCTAAGCATGAAGTTCCTTTTATGATTTAATTTTTAGCTTTCTTTTTTTGCTGTAAATTGTTTCGTTGCTCAAGGAGAATGTAGAAAAACGTACAAAGCTCATGCTTTTCCTATCATCGTTGCTTATATTGGTAGACTGCCGTTGATGTACCACAGTGAAATTACGCCCGATTTTCTTTTCAAGTCAGTTTTTAAATATTTCCAAAATTTCGGGTCTCTTCGCCATCAAATTGCTTTGAAATTATATTTTACTTCGTTAATTGTGATTGTTTCTAGTTGGGTCTCTTATTTACTAAAGCCAATGGTTCGATTGACAAGTCGTCGTGATGTAGAAGAGTTTGTGGCTCGAAATGATTTTTCGGCAGTAGCCTATTTTTCTGATAAAGTATTCTTTAAAGTTTTTTGTGCTCATGAAGACTGAATTTCTAATTTGAAATTCTTGAAAGATAATTTTGAACGTGCCTTGAGATAATTATACACGGTCTAGTCCAATAGCTTCTTTAGTAGTCTGAATGATAATTGGCGTTGATTGAATTGGTTATTATCTACTGTTTTTGTGACTTTGCTTCAGGCGCTTTTGAGGGAGACTTCACGATTTCGGAAATATCTGGCATCATCTTTGTATGTTGCCCAGTACGGTTAGCTGTTGCTATTAAATTCTGCGTTTTTGGGATGCAATTAATTTTTTTCAATAACTTGACTTTTGACTCCTTCACACAGGAATTCATTTGAAATTTCCGATAGTGGATTTTTTCAGACGACTTAATAAGTAGGACTGCTTTTGCTGTTCTGACTGATCCGGTTACTGCGTTATACTTGAGGTTTTCTTACGACACTCAGGTTAGGTTGTACCATTGGCACAGTACCACCAATTTTCCTGAGGACAAAAATTATACTGGTTCTGCAATTGCTGAATGGATTAAGGAACAGGCTCATGATGAACATTTGGTACATTGGATTGTTCCGGGTAATAAATGTAGTAAGTAAATCTGCTCTCTGAGCTTAATTTCTAGTTAACTTTTTAAAACTTGTTGTAGATCAAAGTGATCTTGGGAAGACCGAGCAGTTCTCTTCAATTATTACGCAATTCCCGACAGTCGTATTGTTTACCACGAGAGAGCCGCTGTATCAAGAACAGTCGGATTACTCTATTATGTCCCAGGTTATTATTGTTAAAGCTTTTTATTACAACTTTGAAGTTGTAAATCTGATTAGTTTTAGCTGATTAGCAATGGTGTTTTCAAACTAATGTTAAGAGATCATGCTTTACGCAGTTTGGTCGGTTCGAGTGACGCTGCCAGTTACTTTTATTTCTTTGCGTTTCTGAAGATTTTCTGAATTTCCAGTACAATAAAAGTGTCAATTGGTATTTTTTCCCTCCCTTTTAGTCTTGCCTTTCTAATAGGTTATTTTTCTCACTTTGATGTTCAACGTGTTTTCTCCCGCAAAATCTCGGAGGCTGAAGCAGGGAAAGGAATTTGATACATTGTGATTTGAGTGAATTGGCAGCTATGTTTTCGTTTCTTAGAATGAGAACCTGGTATATTTAGAATCAGTTGCTTGACATTTTTTATATTTACAGATAGAGTTTCGCCAATGATAAGGCAGTTCTTCTATCTCGATTATCTGTCACATCTTTAAAAACTATTAATATCGCTTTGTGGTCTATGTTCAAACCGTCTGCTTGACAGTACTGAACATTTACTCTCCACCACTCTAGGAAAAAATTACCATTTAACTAATATGCTCTTGCAGCTTTCTTGTGGCTTAGGAGGTTTAAAGCATAGTTTTCTTCTTTTAGACTGTCTTTTTCCTAACCTCCGCGCTTCGCATTTATTTAACATGTTTCTCGTAGTTTCACTTACTTTTTGATCTGTTGTGACTCGTTTCTGGTGAAGAATGCTTCAAGCGAAGGAATAATTAAGTTTAGTAATTTTTCTGTATTAAAAGAGTTTTTTGGCCACTTCGACAAGTATGGCTTCTTTCTTCTGGAGCTGACTCTTTCTCTTGCACTTAGCAAGCTGTCAGTGTTTTCTTTCTTCTTCATATTACTTGTTCCTAAGTGACGGAAACTTGTTTGTAAAGCAGTTATAAAGTATA